AATATCCAAGGACTTGGAAGATGAGGATTTGTTGAGGAGACATTAACCCCCCACACACAGTGCTGGGACCCCCTTCTCTCATCAGAAGAAAACATTATTATTATTATTATTACCTCCTCCTCAGTGGATATACAAGGTCCAGTTTTACATCCTCATCAGGAGCATTCTTGAGCTAAAAATCCCCCCTCCAGCTTCCTATTTTGGACTACAACAAAATGGCCGCCACTTCTCTTGCACAGAGGACACTTCGTCCTCTAAGGCAACAGACGTTCGCCATCTAGTGGTGGCTTTGGGCTCGGCTCTCTGTCCACGGAAGACTATCCATTCGCTCGGCTATGAGTCACTATGGCAACCGTGGAACGCACAGCGCAGAAGTAGAGGAGCCACGGGGCAGAATACTGCTAACTGGGGCAAAAGAGCTGGACACACAATTATAATGGCATATCATGTAATGAGTCGAGTCTATGTTAAAATATTTAGATTTTTTTAATAGTACCACTCTCTGGTATTGCCATATGGAGCAGCCAATCAGACTGCAGCAGACATTGTTGTAGTGCTGCTTAGGAGATGAGAGGACATTTTTAATTGGTTGGAAAAATATTCCGCGCATAGCCAATGAAAAGCAAGTTGTGTAACCAAACTGAGATTGTATGAGGCGGTATTATCCTGTAGAATGTGCCGTAGCGCAGCCTTCTTGCCTCTAGTAGCCATTGCTAATGTACAAAGGGGGGGTTTTCAGACACGTTGTAACATTTATGTTTAGCTACTTGAGGAATGGGAAAAAAGCTTTACCTGAGTGCGAGCCATTTGTCAGGGAGAAAAATCAAGGTTGGTCATAGTGGCAAGCAAGTTCCAAGACAGGCAGATAATTTTTTTCGACATTGGCAAGCCAGACGTAAAGTCAGGCAAACTGATAAGGGTCCCCTTCACATAGTACCTTTAGGTGGAACTGAACCCACCAATGTCACTGTTTCCCAAAGCAGCTGTCCAAAAAAGAATGCATACGTAGATGTCTCCACCCAAAAACAGTGGGCATGAAGCTTCGTGACTGCAACATGTAAACACCCCCATCCACTGCCTATCGCTGCTTGTGACGGGAGTGACTTTGGGTGGGGGGCATATGGAACACAGCCCCTTTTGGAGAGGTGGGGAGACCCCTGTCTCAGCTCCCCTTATCCCTATTATGTGTAAGTCACCCTGTGCCTGTTAGAGGTACAGGGTGGAATGTCCTGATATTGTGTAGACATGTATAGGTGGGGTGTGGGGGTTGTTCATTGTTTAATGCCATGTGGTTGTCCCATTGTTCTATTGTGTATCTTGCTTGGGAGCAAACTATTATGGGATGTATGTGTTTGTGTATTGGCTTGGTGGGGGGTGTCTGCTGTGTGTCTCTTGTTACTAAATGTATTGTCCCGCCCTGTGTATATATCTTGCATCTGTGTTAAAATAAAGCAGTCTATCTCCTGGTTTCCTTTAAGTCTGGTCGTGTCTCGTCTTTTTTTGGTCAGCGTGGTGTCCGTGGATCTGGGCTCGCACAGGGAAGCAGGAGGCTAACGGAAATACCCTAATGCAGTCGGGGTCCGGTTCCATTACACTGCTTAAGGGTTAAGAAGTAAGAACACAGCTCAACCGCACATCTTTACAGCCCCCAACCACACATCTAAATTAACCCTTAAAAATATTGTTTTAGTTTCTGGTTCTTCCCTTTCCCCCTTTGTGGACAGTTTCTTATCTTTTTTGTGCTGCAGCCCAGTACATTCTGCTTTCTCAAGGTAGCCCCCCCCCCCCCCATAAGTGGGATGTTCACTTAGGCAGTGTTACTAATGGGCGCATGCAACTGGAAGCTGGCAGACACTCGCAGCATGTCTACACACATTTCCAAGCATGTTCAGCCATTTCACAGGTATCTACAAGTCCCCATATGCAGAGAAATCCCATAACACATGTGCAGATGTGCGGCAGGCCTCTCCGGTTTGAGGCTTCTGATCTGATAGCAGGGTTGTCACCCTAAGGTAACAGCCCAGATTTAAACGCAAATTTGTCTTTATTAACCCCTTTGCGCTGGCGCCTCCCGGCCCTTTAAGAGGTTTCAGAAGCCTGGAGGCTGGGCAGGGTTTTAGGGTCACATGACCGCCATGATTCACTGTCACGGCGGTCACATGATCGGAAAAGGTCCCAATCGCAAGGGGAGATCGGGACCTTTCCGTGAGTCATGGACATATGTGCTGGGAGCGCGCAGGGCGCGCGCTCTCAGCTCATATGTATTTTCAAATGGTACGCAAACATGCGGCCGCTCGGCGTCAAGGCCCAGACGCATGCGCTTGGCAGCTCGGGGTTACGTTTTTAGTAGCAATGTTTACAGAACAAAAGGAAAGAGACATGGATAACATGTACAAGTAGTCAAACAGACATTCCAAGCATAAAGACGATCCAGAAAAGTAATTGTGAGGAGCTGTATTCAATGAGTGCAATAAAGGATCAACTACAGCCGATATGGAGGTGCCAGGAACATAATTCTCCAGGAGATACCTCTGGATGAGATACGGAAAACATCAAGAGGCACCTCCATACAATTCAATGTACTAAGAGAACAAAAATAGAGAATGTGGAAAGAAGGAAAAGAAACGAGAAGCTAGTACTAGAGATGGAAAGATACTAAAAAAGAGAGGGGTCGAGGAAGACACGGAGCAGGATCGCAGTGTCATACCACCAGGGAACCCCCGTGGCACGACCTAGCAACACGTGGCCAAGTGGAATTACGAAGGCTCAACTGATAACCGCAGATCAGTGATTCGGGTAGACAAGGCACAACTCTATTGGGATACAACGGGGCACAAAACTCCCGAAGAGTCGAAGAGGAAGAGAAATGGAGCCTGGCTGACCACAGTAACTTGTGTTTATGATAGGTATCGTTGGCAAACGCCAACATCTCTTCCATAGGCATATCATTAATCACAGTCCAGAGTTAAAATGTTTCCATCAAAAAATAGTAATGCAATAGAGGGGGAGAGGAATCTTTTTTTATGAGTCGAAATGATGGACACGTTACAAACCATTTTACAAAAGCTAAGAAATGTAATAGTGCAGTCTACCATTCACAGGTGACATCCTACTTCCAGTCCAGCCAATTCTGGCATCATTTTCCTAAATGTAAAAAATATAATTTTCTTGCTAAAAAAAATTACTTAGAACCCCCAAAAACTATATATATATATATATATATATATATATATTTTAGCAGAGGCCCTAGCCTAGAGAATAAAATGGTGGGCATTGCATATTTTTATGTCAGTGGATATTTGTGCAGCAGTGTTTCAAATGCAAATGTTTGGGAAAAAAATACAATTTATATGATTTTATTGTACAAAACCACAATATAATATCCAATTGTTTGGTAAAATATAAAAGATGATGTTATGCCGAGTAAATAGATACCAAACATGACACACTTTAAAATAGCGTACCCCCGTGTTGCCCGATCCTCACCTGTGGGTTACCCGAGGGATAGTGGGACTCAAACATATCATGTCTCACAAACAAACAAGTTACCAATGGCGCTTGCTGACCACCTTCAACTATAACAAACCTTGTGTTTAAATATACTCATATACCCATGGATTTTATACAAATAAATATATTGCAAAACACAAATCGGATTCTATGTGCAAAGTTCCAAACCCTAAGTAGTCCATAAACTGAAAGCCAATGAGAGTGGCGTAAAGTCCGTACAAAGTGAGAAATGTTTCATAATCCACCGTTCCTGCCAAGTGATCCACCACCAATGGTCTCCTCACCCACCAGATGACCTCCTTGTTGTACAAGAAAAGTCATACAGTATAGTGCTTTGTGGTCACCCCAGGACCTCCTTAATCATTACCTCTCGTGTAGCGCAGTCCGGACAGAAGGTCATAAGAAGGTGCCAATACTTTTGTCCAGTCCATTTTTGGGGTTTTTACGTGGAATGTGTCAGATTTGGCTTTTTGTTTCTCCACTTTTTTGTGTCTTACCAATACAAGCAAAAGAAATAAACATGAGAATGCCTAAACATTTGTAATAGCAACAAGTTTCTGGGCGAAGTGGTGCATTATCTGACAGAAATGCAGGGGGACAAGATTTCTGGCCATGACTGTATATCCACCTAAGTGGATGCAGCATTGGTTCATGGCTGCATCTGTCCCCCGCCGGCTATAAGGCCGAGAACTGAATTATCAATGACCACTGATCACTCAGTACCCAGTCTTCAGTGAGCTATCCGATTGCCTCTCAGGTGATCAGGAAGGAAATGTTTTTTCCCCTGCAGGAGCAAATTGCATCATGCTTTACTTTTTTTTTTTTGCTCTGGATCAACTGTGGGTGTGAACGGTTATAACTTTTTTTTGTTAAACTTTTTGTCTTTTTTCTGCCAGACTAACTATGTAACTATGGGTGTCGGTGGTGCATCATCTGACAGAAATGCAGGGGTGCCAATAATTTTGGCCATGACTGTAAACGTTTTTTTTTGTTTTTTTTTACATCCCGAACTCCTCTTTTAAGTGTTATATATTAGGCATTCCTTAAAGAGTTACTAAGACCACAACAGTAAAATCAGTCTGTATATGCAGTAAAGCGTGCTTGTTATTCTCACTGTGGAACCAAAGGGGGTAATCCTCTGCGTTGTGTAAAAAGGCTGTTTGATCCTTTCTTCTCTGTTCCTCCCCTTTTTCAAGGGGCCACCGCTTATCTCCAGACGGAACCATAGGCATGCACATGCTCAGTTTGGTGTGTATTGCTAGAGAGTTTTTTTTTTTTTTTTTCTTGGGAGAGTGTATGTGATCAGCACAGGGCCAATCAGCACTGTCCAGACAGAGGTCAGGGGATTTCCATCCTCCTACAGCAGAAAGAAAACTCCTACAAAGCTTTAGCTAGTGCTCTGCTGTACACTGATAGAAGTCACAAGGCTGCTATATACTGCTGATGAGAAAAAGTATTTAGCAGTTTATATTTACTAAAGTAATTGCATTTCAATGTTCTGAGAGCAGATATAATGAATGTGCGGGGTCTGGGGAGAGCGGATATAGTGAATGCAGGGTCCGGGGAGAGCAGATATAGTGAATGCAGTGTCCGGGGAGAGCGGATATAGTAAATGCAGGGTCTGGGGAGAGCGAATATAGTAAATGCAGGGTCCGGTGAGAGTGGATATAGTGAATGCAGGGGTCCGAGGAGACCAGATATAGTGAATGCAGGGTCCTGGGAGACCGGATATAGTAAATGCAGGGTCTGGGGAGAGCGGATATAGTGAATGCAGGGTCCGGTGAGAGTGGATATAGGGAATGCGGGGTCCAGGGCGAGCGAATATAGTGAATGCTGGGTCCGGAGAGAGCAGATATAGTGAATGCAGGGTCCGGGGAGAGCGGATATAGTGAATGCAGGGTTCGGGGAGAGCAGATAAAATGAATGCAGGGTCTGGGGAGAGTGAATATAGTGAATGCAGGGTCCGGGGAGAGCGGATATAGTGAATGCGGGGTCCGGGGAGAGCGGATAAAATGAATGCAGGGTCTGGGGAGAGTGAATATGGTGAATGCGGGGTCTGGAGAGACCGGATATAGTGAATGCAGGGTTCGGGGAGAGCGGATAAAATGAATGCAGAGACTGGGGAGAGTGAATATAGTGAAGGCGGGGTCCGGGGAGACCGGATATAGTGAATGCAGGGTCCAGGGAGACCGGATATAGTGAATGCAGGGTCCGGGGGGAGAGTGGATATAGTGAATGCAGGGTCCGGGGAGAGCAGGTGTAATGAATGCGGGGTCCGGGGAAAATAGATATAGTAAATGCAGGGTCTGGGAGACCAGATATAGTGAATGCAGGGTCCGGGAGAGCGGATATAGTGAGTGCAGTGTCCGGGAGAGTGGATATAGTGAATGCGGGGTCCGCGGAGAGCGGATTTAGTGAATGCTGGGTCCGGGGAGACCAGATATAGTGAATGCAGGGGCCGGGGAGAGCAGATATAGTGAATGCAGGATCCGGGGAGACTGGATATAGTGAATGCAGGGTCTGAGGAGAGCGGATATAGTGAATGCGGGGTTCAGGGAACATGGATATAGTGAATGCAGGGTGCGGGGAGAGCAAATATAGTGAATGCAGGTTCCGGGGAGAGCAGATATAGTGAATGCGGGGTCCGGGGAGACCGGATATAGAGAATGCAGGGTCCAGGGAGACCGGATATAGAGAATGCAGGGTCCAGGGAGACCGGATATAGTTTAATAACACTTTAAGGCTCTGTTCACACCAATGCGTTTTTTAGTGCTTTTTTGCTTTTGCAGAAACGTCCCACAGTCCATTTAACATGGTTTCCTATGGAACACGTTCACCTCGATGTTTTTTTGAGCCGCTGTTTTGGAAAGGGTCAGGAACTTTTTTAAAAGCAATGTTTTTGCTACAATAGAGTTTAATTGAGAAGCTGCTGAAATGCATGGTAGTGCGTTTTTGCCACGTTTTGCATTTTTATTCTGCCCAGCGACAAAAAAAAAATTCCACTTTAACAAAAAAAAAAAAAAAAAAAGCTGAACAAAAGCTCGTCAAAAATATGTGCAGAAAAACAAAAGAAGTGGTACAAATGCGTGTAAAAAAACGGAAACTAACTGTGAAAAGCACTGCAAAACAGACAAAAAGCAAAGTGCATAGGTGTGAACGGAGCCTTAGTTCAGCGCTGAAAGTTCCACAATACAGACTACCAGCGAGGAGAACTAACATATCATAAAGCTACTTGGTTGGCTCTCCGCCATTGCAAAAAAAAATATGAAGTGGACGGAAAGGAAGGAGAATGTGAAGATTTACAGGTTCATGAAGTTCACATGAAGGACACAGCATGGAATTTATAAATGTACATCAATACAGAACTTTATAATTCATATATAAAAGTCCATTTTACACTGGGACAGCAGCAAAGAGCTTTAATCAGGAATGCCTTTTTTTTTTCAAAAACACCAAAGTATAGAAAAGTTCTCGCTACAATCACTGAAAAAGTCAATGCAGGAGATAACCCAGTTAAAAATCAGAACTATGGATTTGGATTCATCTTCGGTTCACTGATGCCAGCCATTTCTAAGTCCTGAAAAATTAACTCACAGGAGTCCACCACAGACAAAAGCTCATTTATTCCTGTAATAAAACTTCAACAAATATGGACAAAACGCAACTATAAAAAAGGAGAACCTGCAACATGCTGCAGTTTTTTTTACTTTTAGAAAAACCGGGTTAAAAAAGTAAGCAGAAGTCATCAAGGTCTTCATACTCTTCCCTCAGCTCTCACCTCCTGAGACAGGAACCTCTTGTCTCTTGTGGGAACCGACATGCGACATTAAAGAGGATTTTTTTGGAAACTTTTTCCCACATTCCAAACAGGCATACGGGTGATCCCCAGTGTGAGTCCTGTGATGTTTCACAAGGTCTGATCTTTCAATGAATCTTTTTCCGCATTCGGAACATGAATGCGGCTTCACCCCAGTGTGAGTCTTCTGATGTGAAAGTAGGTTCCCTTTCTGAGAAAAACATTTCCCACACTCCAAACAGTTAAATGGCTTCTCTCCTGAGTGGATTTTTTGATGTTTAATGAGTTTGTCTTTTGCGGCGAAAGATTTCCCGCACACCAGACACGAATATGGCTTCTCACCCGTATGGCCTCTTTCATGCGTGATGAGGGATAACTTGCGAGAGAAACACTTCCCCCACACTCCGCACAGGAAAATGGCTTCTCTCCGGTGTGAGTTCTTAAGTGCGTACCAAGATTGGATCTCTGAGTGAAACATTTTCCACACTGGGGACAGGAATATGGTCTCTCAGCTGTATGGGTTCTCTCATGGCTGAGAAGGTTTGACCTCTCGTTGAAGCATTTTCCACATTCTGAGCATGAAAATGGTTTTTCCCCGGTGTGGATTCTAAGGTGTCTTATAAGCTGAACCTTCCAGGAGAAGCATTTGCCGCATTCGGGACAGGAAAATGTCTTCTCTCCTGTGTGACTTCGTTGGTGGGCGATAAGCTCTGCTCTTTGGTTAAAACACTCGCTGCATTCGGAGCATGGAAATGTTCCAAGTCGATCGGGAAAGTTAGCCACACATGAAGATGGAGCAGACGATCGAACCCTACTGTGAGGCATTGGATGGTGGTTGGAAGTAATGAGGATTTCTGATGTGAGGTCTTCACTTTCTGCTCCTTGAGAGATGAAGGGCTGTTTCTCCATGGCGTACCTTTTGTATCGCCCATCTAGAAAAATTATAAAGGTTTAAAAGAAGACAATTTAATAAGTAACTATAACACCTGTCCATTATATACTGGAGTCTTTTATCAATCCATACTTCCCTCATCTGAAAACACTTACACATCCTAGATGCCTGCCAATATCTTGCCAACTTTCCTATACATTGCCATCACACCGCTTTCCCAAAGACGACCTTCGATATGGAACGCTGGTCATACTGTCCACCCAGTTCTACAATTACATACTCTACAGAACCCTGCTGACCAGGGCCGTCTTAATCGCATCAAGGGCCCCTGCATATCTCTAATCACCCATATGCAAAATTAACCAGTTAGTGAATATGTCCAAAATAACATAAATCAATGGAAAAAAAAAATATAATCAATAATATATGCAAAAATAAACTGCAAGAAGGAATGTCCATCAGATGATATAGGGCTGCAGGTAGTAATCAATTCTTCTGACTATACAGTGGTACAGGTGTACCTCGGTTTACGAATTTGATGTGTTCTGCAGGACTTTTCGTATTGCGAAAAATTTGTAAACCGAAACGCGGCTTCCCATAGGAATGCATTGAAAACCATTGAATCTGTTCCGGAGGTCAGAAAAAAGTCTTTTATCTGTTCAAAACTCTTTATGAAGTGCACTTTAACCACTAGCCTACTGGGCACTTATACCCCCTTCCTGCCCAGGCCAATTTCCAGCTTTCAGCACTGTCTCACTTTGAATGACAATTTGCGCGGTCATGCAACACTGTACCCATATGAAATTTTTATCATTTTTTTGAGACAGATAGAGCTTTATTTTGGCGGTATTTAATCACCTCTGGGATTTTTATTTTTTCCTAAACAAACCAAAAAAACACTGAAAATTTTGAAAAAAAAATGTTTTTTCTTAGTTTTTGTTATACAATTTTGTAAATAAGTGATTTTTCTCCTTCACTGATGTGCGCTAATGACGCTGCAGTGATGGGCACTGATAGGCGTCACTGATGGACACTGATAGGTGGCACTGATGAGGAGGCACTGGTAGGTTGCACTGATGGGCATTGACAGGCATCACTGATGGGCACTGAAAGGCAGCACTGATACATGACACTGATATTTGGCACTGATAGGCGGCACTGTTAGGCAGCACTGACTGGCACTGTTAGGCGGCACTGACTGGCACTGATAGGTGGCACTGACAGGCGGCACTGATGCGCACTGATAGGCGGCACTGACTGGCACTGCTAGGTGGCACTGATAGGTGGCACAGATTGGCAGTGATAGGTGGCACTGATGGGTGACATTGAAAGGCAGCTCAGATGGGCATTGATATGTGGCATTGATGTGCACTGGTATGCACTGATATGTGGCATTGATGTGGCACTGATGGGCACTGGCACGTGGCACTGATGAGCACTGACTGCTGGCACTGATGGACACTAACAGGTGGCACTTCTGGGGCCACACTGATCATCAGGGCACACTAATCATCAGTGCCCTGATGATCAGTGTACATGTCCCCTCCGCGGGAAAGCCGATTACCGGCTCTCCTCTCGAGCTGTCAGCGTGACAGCTCGAGAGGAGAGAAATGCCGATAACCGGCATTTCCGTGTTTAAATGTGATCAGCTGTGATTGGACACAGCTGATCACATGACCGAGCCGACATCTTTGGCTCTTTCCGTGATCTGCTGTGTTCGAGGGAATTGAAGGACGTCATATGATGTCCTATCAGAACGAGAGAACCACCTTGCGCCAGTCATTGTACTATATGGCGGGTGGAAGGTGGTTAAAGGCATAAATACTGTACAGGGACATGATTAAAAATGTATTTGTACATGCATTGAAAACCAATTAATCCGTTCCGGAGATCAGAAAAAACATAAACAAAAAGTCTTATCTGTTCAAAACTCTTTATAAGGTGCATGATTAAGAAAAAAAATTTGTAAATGCATTGAAAACCAATTAATCTGTTGCGGAGGTCAGAAAAAAGTAAAAAAAAGTCTTATCTGTTCAGAACTCTTTATAAAGTGCACTTTAAAGGCATAAATACTGTACAGGGACATGATTAAAAATGAATTCATAAATTCATTGCAAACCAATTAATCTGTTTCGGAGGTCAGAAAAAAGTAAAAAAAAAATGAATCTGTTCAAAATTCTTTATAAGGTGCACTTTAAAGGCATAAATACTGTACAGGGACATGATGAAAAAAATTTGTAAATGCATTGAAAACCAATTAATCTGTTCGGATTGTGAAAAAAATTTGTAAACCGAGCCATTATTTTCAATGGATTTTTATTCGTAAACCAATAATTACATTAACCGAGGTGTTCGTAAACCGAGGTACACCTGCATTAGGCATCAGATTTCACCTTCATGCTCCAAAAAAACACGGCTCTCTGTGAACCATCACTAGTTGTGCCGTCACCTTATCACTATGACCTCCCACATATATACAGCATCCGTGATGGAAATCTCCTTCTCTTGCTCTCCACTCACCAACATGTAAACAAAATATTATATATAGTGCTTATCCTTAAAAAAGTAATTTGTATCAAAAAAACTGTTAAAATCCTACTCACACAGTACAGGTGCTAGATCACACCAGATATAAACCACCCCAAATAGATGTAAAAGACTCTTCCTAATAGCGCCATGTTAAGAAGCGGCAATAAAACAAACCAACACTTGCCAACGTATGAGCGTCGTGATGTCATCCATCGCGTTTTGTCATAATCTACAACCAGCTGCATGTGACTGAAATGAACCAGGGAACCACTTGACATGAGGTCTTTAGTGTTGGGTAGAAGACCACATGGGATGGGATTAAAGTAGAACTATACGCAAAACTTCTTTTTTTTCTTTTGGATAGAGTAAGGCTGGCCATACATTATACAATTATCTGCAGATTTTTGGTTTAGATTTACCAAAAACCATATAATAGGAGGACAAACCTAAACAACACTTTCAGTTGTATCCAATTAGGCAGGCCCTTGCACTACATAGTTGAAGGTAAATCTAAAGGAAATTGGGCAGAAAATCTGCAGATAATTGTATAATGTATGGCCAGCCTAAGGGAGGGTTATAACTCCTGTAGAGATTATTTTTTCGCCATCTGTGTCCCGTTGTAGAGATTTTTCTTTACTTCCTGTCCTATAGCCAAACAGGAAGTGAGAAGAAATCCCTACAAATTAAGGAAATTCCTTAGGGACCCCCAGATCACCAGAACTAGTGTCCCCATTAGAAGATTTCCCCTCTATTGCTACTGGGGACAACCCCAAATTTGGGATTTTTTACACTTTCACTTTGAATCATCATGGTAAACAGGACAAATAGAGAGGGAGAATCTCCCTAATGGGGGCACAGACAGCAAAAAACCTGACAGGGGTTCTAATCCATCTCCAGTCTATCCAAAACTAAACAAAATTAGCAATACTTTCAGAGAAGAACTAGGGAATGATTTTTTACAGCATTAGGGATTCGCAGCGCACCAGTGTGAAGACATACGGTACATTGAATTTAAAGGGATGCATTTTTCTTGAGCTTTTCTTGCGCCTTTTTTTTTTTATCACAAAAGCGCTTCAGAAACTGCTCAGTGTGAAAGCAGCCTATTGGCCGAAAAGGTGCTGAAAATATATTCATATTCGTTTACATTTATGATATTAATTAAAAAGTCTAAAACAATACAAATATATATAAAAAACATATTTAAATAAAAAAACTGTCCATTTCAGTTTTGGTTTTCGGCCAAAATGCATCCTGAATTTTCAGTTTTGGTCCAAGAATTTTCATTCCGGTGCACCACTAATTGCTATACAGAACAAGAAGAATCTGGATTTAGCATTTATTGCTCACCTGTGCAGATCTCTGGAGGATCTTCCTCATCACTCTCCGCATCGTACGTCTCTTCTGCTTCTTCTTTCACTTCCACTTTAATATAAATCAGATTTTCATCCTGAATATAACAAAACAGTCCTGGTGTTAAACAGAATATTATACAGATTGTTCCAGAACGGTTCTGACACCCCCAGTTCACTTGAATGCCGAATGTGACAGAGGGGATCATCTTTGCTGTACCATGTGTATACCCCAGGGCCAGATCTGGGGAGGTGCTGGGTTGGGCTGTGCCCCCCCCCCTCTTAGATTTTAGTTGAGTCCTCACAGGTCTCTGATACTGCATCCACTGATCCATGAGCCAGTCTTGTGGGGGCAATTAATGCAAGAGAGCACTGTGATGGGGATACCTGATGTAAAGGGGAACTCTGATTCAGATACCTGATGTAATGGGGCACTCTGATGGGAACCCTTATGTAAGGGGGACTCTGGTGGGGACCCTGATGTAAGGGGGCAGTCCGATGAGTATCCTGATGTAAGAGGGCACTCTGATGGAGACCCTGATGTAAGGGGAACTCTGATGTAAGGGGCAGTCTGATGAGTATCCTGATGTAAGGGGGGACTCTGGTGGGGACCCTGATGTAAGGGGGCAGTCTGATGAGGACCATGATGTAAAGGAGGGACTGTGATGGGGACCTTGATGCAATGGGGAGCCACAGGGTCTGATACAAGTGGGGGAAATTAATGTAAGCAAGCATTATGATGGGGATACCTGATGTGAAGGGGCACTCTGATTCAGATACCTGATGTAAAGGGGCACTCTGATACGGTAACTGATCATATGTTAGGGGGCACTCTGATGGGAACAGTTGATGTAAGGGGGCACTCTGATGGGGACAGCTGATGTAAGGAAGCACTCTGACATGAACCCTGATGTAAGGGGGGCTCTGGTGGCGACCCTAAAGTGAGGGGCATTCTGATGAGTATTCTGATGTAAGGGAACACTTTGATGAGGAACCTGATGTAAAGGGGAACTCTGATGGAAACATTAATTTAGGGGGGAACTCTGATGGGGACACCTGATAAAAGGGGCACAGGGTCTGATATAAGTGGGGGGCAACTAATGTAAGAGAGCACTGTGATGGGGATACCTGATGTAAAGAGGCACTCTGATTCAGATACCTGATTTAAAGGAGCATTCTGATTCAAATACCTGATGTAAAGGGGCATTCTGATTCAGACACCTGATGTAAAGGGGCACAGTGTTCAGATAAACAGTGTTGACATTATGCCCCCTGACTTTTCTTTACTACACCCCCTGGCCCTGGTATAACCCCATTTGGCTGCTTGCAGGGGGGGGGGGGGGGGGGGGCTGTTGGGGAGGTAAAAAAAAACACCCCTCAGCTAAAAATAAATCAATATCAAAAAGGTGATGCAGGCTCTAACCCTTCCATAGACCATCCAAACCTGAGAAAAAACGACGTTTTGGCTGCAGTTGGGCTTTACTTAGAGGTCTTTTTGAAGAAAAACTGCCAGATGTGTGAATTAATAAAACATACCACCCATGTTGAAGTCAAGATTGGTGACGGTTAGGAAACTGATTCTCTCCATTCTTTCTTTTTCTATTTCTCCACAAAATAATTTAAAGGACCCTCACCCACCCCCATCTACCTGATCATCATGTTGGGTCTCGTGCCCTTCTTTTGTAGAAGCCAAGGAATCTGGGGAACAGGAACATCTCTCTGGTGTATTTTTATTACTGGGTCCACCTGTCAAAAATAAACATAACCAACGAAGATTGTGATTTCTGCAGCTAGACCTGCGATACTTTTCTTTATATGTTACTTTAGTCACCTGTGCTGATCTCCACAGGAACTTCCTCCTCTTTAATCCGCACTTGTCTTCCTTCCTCAGCTTTGATGTCTCTGGTGTCTCCGGGGTCTGTGAATAAAGATGAGAGTGAAGCCCCCTGTACTGAGATGTATGAGAGACCCCAGACAGTGTGTGTGGGGGGAGACTGGTCACATCTCAATGACATGATGTGAGGAGAGGCGGAGTCTAAGGGCTCCTTTACACTTCAAAATTTGGCATGCTTTTTGAAAGCACCCTGAATGCCAATCAAAGCCCCTGTCACTAATAAAATGGTAAGTTTACAGTCCTGTTTACACTGTTTGTTCGCTTTACTTTGCTTCAAAAATTTTACCCCATGTCGCTTTCTTGGTGCTTCAAAGCGTCTCCGGAGCCTCCATAGAAGTCTATGACAAAGCTCGCTAACAGCACCTGCAGATTTTGAGAGGCTTTTTTTCAGGTTTAGCTTTTCTTTGTTTTGTAGGTATGAGATATCCCAGGATGCACTGTGAAACCAACAAGCGAGCCAGAAAGTCATCATCAGCAGTCACTTCTGGTTCATGTGTACATATATTTTGGGAGTGTCTGGTGCAGACATCTCTTCTGGTGTGCAGCAGGAAGGTGACCGGGGGCCAGACTGGAGGGGAGCAACTAGTAGATGGCACATGTGGTGTGCAACATGGAAGTGCTATAGCAAAAGGTGAGCAGGGACCAGAGAGAGAGGACTGAGCAGTGAAGGATCAGCAGAGCTGGGGAACCAGAGCAGGAGAAACTACTAATGCCTGACATGGTGCTCAGTGTGGGAGCAATATAGTGGGAAATGAGTGGGTACCAGAGATAGAGAAGAATCAGCAAACCAGAGGAAAAGCAGAGCTGGGGGTTACTACTGAGAGGGGTATTAGCAGAGCTGGTGTTACTATTGAGCAGGGGATCAAGATAGCTGGGGGATACCATTGAGCGGGGGATCAGCAAAGATGGGATTTACTACTGAGCGGGGGATCAGAGGAGCTGGCGTTAGTACTAAGCAGGGGATCAGAAGAGCTGGGGGTTACTACTGAGTGGGGGATCAGCAGAGCTGGGGGTTACTACTGAGTGGGGGATCAGCAGAGCTGGGGTTCAACTACTGAGTGAGGGATCAGCAGAGCTGGGGGTTACTACTGAGGGGGGGATCAGCAGAGCTGGAGGTTACTACTGAGGGGGGGATCAGCAGAGCTGGTATTTACTACTGAGCGGGGGATCAGAGGAACTGGGGTTAGTACTGAGCGGGAGATCAGCAGAGCTGGGGGTTACTGAGAGGGGGATCAGCAGAGCTGGGGTTTACTATTGAGCAGGGGATCAGCAGAGCTGGGGGTTACTACTGAGCGGAGATGAGCAGAGCTGGGAGTTACTACTAATAGGGTGATCAGCAGAGCGGGGGTTACTACTGAGCGGAGATGAGCAGAGCTGGGAGTTACTACTAATAGGGTGATAAGCAGAGCTGGGTGTTACTACTGAGCAAAAATGAGCAAAGCTGGGGGTTACTCCTGAGTGGGGGATCAGCAGAGCTGGGGGTTACTACAGAGCGAGGGATCAGCAGAGCTGGGGGTTACTACAGAGCAGGGGATCAGCAGAGCTGGGGGTTACTACAGAGCAGGGGATCAGCAGAGCTGGGGGTTACTACAGAGCAGGGGATCAGCAGAGCTGGGGGTTACTACTGAGGGGGGGGATCAGCAGAGCTGGGGGTTACTACTGAGCAGGGGATCAGCAGAGCTGGGGGTTACTACAGAGCAGGGGATCAGCAGAGCTGGGGGTTACTACAGAGCAGGGGATCAGCAGAGCTGGGGGTTACTACTGAGGGGGGGGATCAGCAGAGCTGGGGGTTACTACTGAGGGGGGGATCAGCAGAGCTTTGGGTTACTACTGAGGGAGGATCAGCAGAGCTGGGAGTTTACCATTGAGCGGGTGATCAGCAGAGCTGGGAGTTACTACTGAAAGGGGGAACAGCAGAGCTGGGGGGGTTACTACTGAGCAGGAGATCTGCTGAGCAAGGGTACTAACAAACTGGGGATCTGATGAAAGAGGGTACCAATGAGCTGGGGATCTACTGGTTCCCTTTAAAACAAATAAAAAAATCAACACACACACACAGAGGGCATTTCCCAAGCTTCATTAAAGCTTCAAAAAAAAAAAAAAAAAAAGCATCATCAAAGTATCACAGAAGCATCAAAAATACATCAAAAATTACATGTTGGAGCGGTAGGCACTTTAATGTGTGTTACAGTGGAGGCAAGAGTAAATGAGTAAATAGAGGCTGATGGCTCCTGACCCCCCCACTGTGCACATACTGCCCCCCCATTACTGTCTACTGACAGAGGAGGAGGGAGAAGAAGAGATTGTTGTGGTGACTGAACAAGGAGGATCTGATCTGGGACTCTTCTCTGGATTTAGTGTTTATTCCTCACCTGTGCTGATCTCTGGACCTTCCTCCTCTATACATGGATCATCACCCATCATAGACATCTCTTCTTCTTCAACTTTGACCACGATCAGACCTTCTCTCTAATGAAGACAAAACATCCTTGCTAAATTTTGTATCAGAAATCAGGTGAATGTCAAGTTTAATGAGGACCTTCTTCCTCACCTACCTGGTCCTCCTGAGGGATCTCCTGATGTTCCTGAGGGATCTCCTGATCCTCCTGTGTGGAGTCCCGGGAATACAGAGGATGGGGACATATCTCTGGTGGGTTCCCATTACTGGATCCATCTGTAGGAAACACACACACTGACTGAAATCCATTGTTTCTATGTCTTTATATCAGAGGATGTGTGTATCTAGGTGAATCCTCAATACAAGAAATGAAAGTCTCCTCTTACCCAGTGATGTGAGGAGCGCCCGATTCTCCATCATGACGTCCTTGTAGAGATCTTTGTGTCCTTCTATATCCTTCCCCTCCTCTGGGTGGTTTGTAAGGTTCTCTCTGGAATATATTAATATTGCAGACACAGTAAGGCTTAGTTTACACTCGTGTTTGGAGGGGCGGTAAAAAATAGGTTTTTGAGCCACATTTTTGCTGCCCCAGCATGAGCTGGACGGGACTGTATACATGCCACGGCTGTGGTGCAGCAAGAAATATCCCCTGCAGGATCACCACCAAGTGCAACCCATTCAAATGAAACAACGCGCCAAATGCTGGTCTGGTGGTTGTGGCGCAGCATTGTCACCTCCTGAATGCCAGACTGCGGCGCCTGCACTGCTCCCTGAAAACGGAACGGAACCACCACAGATCACTCTTCAGAGACCAACGCAGGGGGAAACAAGCCCTTAACAAGCGTATTTTAAAAAAACATATTTTTTTTTCCATGGCAGTAAAGTAGCAGATGCCGGGTTCTGGTCTATGCAGATCTCTGCAGTAAGGGAAGCCTTTTGTCTTTTACTGATTTATTTCTGCAGGCACTCAGAGAAGGGGGCCTGCTACCTGATAATGTATTCGAGTGTAACACATAATTATTACCTCCTCCTCCGCACTGGACACACATTCTCCAGCCTCCCACCATATCAGGGAGTTTCTTCAACTAAAAATATTGCAGGTAACTCCTCCTTAGGTCTACAACAAAATGGCCGCCGATCCTCCTGCACTGAGGACAACCATAGCGACACGAAGTATATCACTAGATTTGAATAACGGCAGCAGGGGTCGTTTAACGAGCCATAAAGATATAATGATTTCTGTATGAGAGGAAATTAGGGCCGTCCTGCAATCGCCGCAGGCGCGTCATTATGGCAACCCGGAAGCAGCTAGGAGGACATGGAGCGCACAGTACGGAAGTGCGGGATCCACACGGCGGAAGTAGAAGTGCAGATCCATGATATTTATTACCAATAATAATAACAATAATAATACAAATTATATTATGATTATTAATATAAACCTTAATAATAATATCCATTATTATAATATTATTATTGATAATACAATAATAGTATTATAATAATAATAATGTCATTAATAATGATTATTAGGGTAATATTAATAATCATAATATAAACTGTATTATTATTACTATTATAATAATAATAATAATAATAATAATAATAATAATAATATACATAATAAATAAATTGCATACTAATACCATTTAGATTATTATTATTCAGAATAACATTAAAATTATGACAATAATAATATTATAAATTGCATTATTATTATTATTGTTATTATAAATAATAATAATCTAAATTGCATTATTTTTATTATTCAGAATAATGATAATCTAAATTGTATTATTATTGTTATACATAGTAATAATAACATGCATAATAATAATAATACCATTTTATATTATATTATTATTATTATTATTATTATTATTAATAAATAATCAGAATAATATTAACAATGATGATAATGATATTATAAATTGCATTGTTAATATTATATAAAGGATATTATTATTAATAATAATCACAATATATATTGCATTATTATTGATAATAATATTCATGGTCATTGACCGTACTGTAATTATATACATTATAATCACAATATATATTGCATTATTATTATTATTATTATAATAGTAATAGTCATATTATTATAACAATATTCATGGTCCTCCCCCATCCTCTGGAACTCACTACCCCAACCCATCAGACTGTCACTGTCAGGAGTTGCCTATTCAGGGAAGCCTACCCCACCCTACCTAACTGCTGCTCTTATACTCCATCCCCCACAGCCACTTCCTCCTGTACCACTACCCCTTCCCTCCTAGATTGTAAGCTCGAAAGAGTAGGGCCCTATAACCCCTCGTGTGCTGTTTGTAGTTGCTGTATGTTTCATGTATTGTCCCCCCCTCTATTGTACAGCGCTGAGCAAACCCTTTGGCGCTATATAAACTCAATTAATGTAATGTAATGTAATGGTCATTGACTGTACTGGAACGCTGCCTAGTTGAAGTTGTTTAGCTGGTAAGCTTGTTTAGTATCTTAATGTTTCTTTTGTTTCTCTTTTGTGTTTTGGGTGTATCATGTCGAACCAGAGTATGCTCTGTTTTGTACTCTTTATTTCCTAAAAACCTAATAAAAAAGATTTTCTAAAAAAAAAAAAAAAAAATGTTATTTTTGTTGTTATTACTATGTTTTTATTATTATTACTATCATTATTATTGCTGTTGTTATTTTATACAATTATTTTATTTCTGATACACACTTTTACATTACTAATAGTCACAGGTGTTGCCAGTATATTACAGCCAATCAGATTTCAGCTGTAATTGTTCTAGTGCTTGATAGGAAATAAGCAGAATTTTCTGATTGGCTGCTATAAGCAACATCCCAAATGTCTCTTTCCCCCCCCCCCCCCTCCCCCAGCCCAGACTGCCCCTACAATTGTTCACCTTGTCCGGCATCTAAAAGTCAGTCTATGTCATTGTATCTGATTTTTATTGTTCTCTGCAGCTTTAGGATGTCTCTGGTCTGTCTCGGCGCACATGACCTCCTCGATGTGATCGCCGCCATGCACCTGTTCCCAGCCGGAGCCCAGGCAAGGAAGTACAGAGGGGCCTGTAATGGAAACTGTCAGTGGTAGGCCGTCGTGTTCATGAACATGGACAACATACAGGTAATGCAGCCAGTTAAGACTTCTGTCCTGCTCTCCAGTTGTGAGTCAGCTGATCATATCACGGAGTAGTCCGGCCCCCGAGGTCCCATCAGGCCCCTGGGAGTCATGCTTGGGGCTGGTCAGAGTCTTGGTGCGTGTCCAATTTTCAGCACATTGGGTGCATTGGCAGCTCATTCATTTCAATGGGCCGCCTTGACCTAACCCATGTTACAGTACATTTCATCATACGACACGGATAGACACGCTCTCCCGGTCACTTGCAAAACAGACTCTCTCAGTACATCATAACAAAAAAAAAAACAGAAAAAAACCCCAAAAATTCCCCTTTCACTGGCAGTCGGTCATATTGGGAGGGAGGCGGGATCTGGGGGAACCCTTGTTGAAGGGAGCTTCCAGATTCTGGTAAGTCACCCCTCGAAGACTCCCACAACCACAGCCCAGGGTTGTGGGGAAGAAGCCCTTGTCCCATGTTGGGAGCCCCCCTACCCCAAAGCACTTCCCCCCATGTGGAGGGCATGTGGCCTGGTTCAGGAGGGGGCGCTCTCTCGCTCTCTTGTCCCCACCCCCCTCTTTCCTGCCCTGTCAGGTCTGTGCTTGGGTTTGGTTGGAATTTAGGGGGGACGTCATGCTTACCTCCCCATTTTTTGAGGGTGGGTTCCCCTTAAAAAGTCCTACCATGCCTAAAGGGCCTGATATGGCTTTTAGGGGGAACCCCACACACTTTTAAAAATGTTTTTTACTGTGGGATTTCTCCTAACCAACCTACCAGACCTAAAGGATCTGGAAAGGATTAGGGGGGGGGGGGCACGCTTTTTTTTTAAAATACAAGTCCTGCTGCAGCCGATTCTATACATTGTACAGATGTGCAACTATGCAGGTAGTTTAAGGATACCCCCCTCAGGCATGATATTTAAAGGAATTTTTTTTTCTTTTTTTTTTATCTTTAAGCAATGACAAAGGACGGCCCCTTTAAAAACGGTACATTTTGAAAAAAAATGTTTTCACCGATTCCTGTCCCTCAGGGTGTTCCCTGAGTCCCCATACCCCTTTTATGGCCAATAACTTGCATATAAGCCTTCAAAATTGGCACTTTTAGTTCAAGTCCCATAGACTTGCATTATGTGCGAAGTTCGGGTCAAACTTTTCTTAGGTTCGAATGTTGGACCGTGAACCAAACCGGGAGGGGGTGTTCGGCCCATCACTAATATACAGTTGCAAGAAAAAGTATGTGAACCCCTTGGGATTACATGGAGTTTTTGCATGAATTGGGCATAAAATGTGCTCTGAATGTCATCTAAGTCACAACAATAGAAGAACACAGTCTGCTGAACATAATACTACACAAACATTAGATGTTGCCATGGTTTAATTGCACATAACATGTAAAAATTCACAGTGCAGGGAGGAAAAAGTATGTGAGGCCCTAGCTTAATGACCTCTCCCAGAGCTAATTGTTGCCAGGAGTGAGCCAACCTTGACTCCAATCAGTGTGATGATATTGGATGTGTTGCTGACAGCTGTCCTGCCCTTAAAAAACACACATCTGTTTTGGGTTTACTGGTTTCAAGAAGTACTGTCTGATGTGAACCATGCCTTGCAGAAAAGAGCTCTCAGAAGACCTACGATCAAGAATTGTTGACTTGCATGAAGCTGGAAAGGGTTACAAAAATATCTCCAAAAGCCTTGATGTTCATGTGTCCACGGTAAGACAGACTGTCTACAAATGGAGAAAGTTTAGCACTGTTGCTACTCTCCCTAGGCGTGGTCGTCCTGTAAAAATGACTGCAAGAGCACAGCGCAGAATGCTGCATGAGGTAAAGAAGAATCCCAGAGTGTCAGCTAAAGACCTACAGAAATCTCTGGCACATGCAAACATTTTTGTTGACACATCTACAATAAGGAAATCATTAAACAAGAATGGAGTACATGGGAGGACACCACGGAGGAAGCCATTGCTGTCCAAAAAGAATATTGCAGCACATTTGAAGTTTGCAAAAAAAGAGCACTTGGATGTTCCACAGCACTACTGGCAAAATATACTGTAGACAGATGAAACCAAGACTGAGTTGTTTGGGAAG